CGGTGGTTGCCTCCGAAGACTAGATGGCCTCCGGTGTTTCCTTAACTAGTGCAATAGGACACAATTATTCCGGTCAAAGTGAAAAGCGTTGAGAGAATAGAGAACAACTCACGTGATTGTGCAACCCATGTTCTGATCTCTTTCAATGACGGCTTCCATATCATCATCATGTGTACGCATAGTTTTGTTTTATTTGCCTACCTAGTGATTTGATTTAAAAATTTCATTTTTTCATTGGCTTAATTTGGTAGAATCTGGGGTCAGTATGCATGTGCGACATTGTTATGCAATGCAATTCTCATTTGCAACTCGGGGTGGGGATTAAGGGGACGAACAAGTCTTAGAACAATCATTGAGATGATTCTGTCTCAGGTGTAGTGGGTTCCATGCGTTTAACCTGGACAGTAGGGCCCATTTTTAGTGATTTTTATAAAGAGTAGTGTATACATAACCGGACAAAATTCTTTCATAAGCACACGACCGGTTTCGCGGACTTTGTCGCTCTTCGGGTATGCCTATCCGTTAATATTACGATCATTCTTATACTTGAACTCCCGATCATACCAAAAATGGCACCCGAACTACTAAACGTGCCACAGACTCACTAAAAAAGACGAAACGAAGATGAAACACAGTTTGGTGGTTTATCTCTTCCTTGCGTTTGCATCACAGCTGATATACACAAGGCCCATCTATTTTCGACTAGAGGTATTTATAGCCAAACAAAGTGACTCTGCAAACTAAAAAGCTATAAAGAATGTCGGTTTGCTTAAATGTGTCTTTGGTCGGTTTCAGTCAACACTTTTTCCCTGTCTAGTATCACCATACATTCGTCTACTCACAGAGAACGTCATCCAGACATGGCAATCGCATGATTGCAAAATGCTGAAGCGTCCACAAAGGACGGCCATTAAAATGGTCAAAGGGTTGAATCGTTATTCGTACGCAGAAAGTGTATTCCCTGGTGTTATATTCCAATCACTACCGGCGCATCAGAGGAGACAAGATTATGGTATACCAAATAATGCAAAACTCAAGCCATCCGTGTCGCCCGCTTCTGAAATTATCACCCAACGTTCATGTTAGAGGAGATCCGTTCAAACTAGTGGTCTCAAAATGCCGATTGGAATGCTGGCGTCAGTCATTCACAGGCAGAGTATGTTTGATCTGGCACTCTCTCCCACCCCATATCGTCTGTACACCAAGCGTTGAATCTTTCAAACCGGGACTTGATGAAGCATTCCCAGCATAAAGTAAGCTGCGTGCAACGGTGGAAGAATCGCGTATCACGGGACCTTTTTAAACAAGGAATCGTATGTAGGATTGTCTTTCAGCCACAACACGAACCTATAGGACGAGAAAAGCATGTGTTTGTAAGTTATTCCCGTAATAAATCTTTGAATTTATAATTTACAGAGGCGAAGCACTGCACTCACTATTCCATGTTTTCCCCCCTGCGGATTTATCTTCTTCTCACTTCTGGACACATCCGGTCACAAGCGGAATAGCCAATATGTTACAAGGTTTAACCTCCTAGTTAAACCCCCGCGGATTCATGCGCTTTGCTAAAATCAACAACAGCGTTACCTACATGTTATAGTTTTAATTCCTCACGAAAACCGGGCAATCCAGTGTAGTGAGCTCAGCGTGCTTCTTTCAACTTTAGTCACAAAACATCTCCCACCAACAGACTGACGGAGGAGAAGGATTCATTCCATGGCTAGACGTCAGATGTACAACGTGGTAAAATCTGTTTTAGGTTGGTGACTGGATTTTTAACTTTCATATCCACATATTCACATAAGGCGTTTCTACTTGCTCAATAATTTTTTTATTAGACACCTGAGTGTGTTGAACAGCAAACAGGGCGAACCCTATAGTCACAAGGACCTGTTGTTCAGTGGTGAAAACCGGCAACCTAAGCCCAGGGACTTGGAGTGGCGAACCAGATAAGGCCCCGATAGGTTAGGCGTGTTATTGAACAGGACGACAGCATAGATGCCTACCACCAACGTCGGGTGGCGGTGACGGGGATCGAACCTCGGATCATAGAGTCCAAAGCACGCCGGTGACAGTGGCTAAACCACTTCGTCACCACCATCCGTAACAATGAGGTCAACTCTCTTCATGAGGGGTATATTGGCAGGTATGTTTCCGGTTTGGCTATAAACTGGACTCTGTCTCTGAGACTATATGTACATTGTGTATTTATGTGGGATGGGTCCCAGGCAGTGGACCAGCCACTGTTCCATTGTGAAACGTGGTGAATTCACCAGTGCTATCTGTACTGGTTAGTCCTCGACGCGGGTCCTTTTCATAGACTTACAATAATTATTGCCAATCGCACTACTCAACTTGATACAAGGGCAGTTCAACTGAACCGCGTTCTGGTCAACCCTGCAACCCTCTATAGTGCTTTGTACAAAGAATTCGGTAACTAGTCTGTGCCCCGACATTAGTATCTTTCAAGCGTCAGCTTGATGATGCACTGGCAATCAT